TAAAAATTCTGCCCCGCTTCGAGTTGCAAGTTCGCTATAACTTTTGTTTTACAAAATAGTTGTGCAAGCAACATATACCGAACGAAGCGGAAAATAGTGTAGCGTGTTAATACATATATCTTGTTTTCAGTCATTTCCAACAAAAAGGGTTATAAACAAAAACATACATTTTTCGCTCCAAGATGGCGGCGTTTGTTTACATTTTGTAGGATACGACGCAGTTTTGATTCCCAGCCCTGGACACAGAGTGCACAAAGTCATGTCACTACGCACACAACGAACATGAAACGCATGAAACTAAAATAAAGTGAAAAACAGAATCCCTAAAGAAAGCCCAACACGGCAAAACTGTAAAATGTTGCAGGCTCGGTTTGATTGAGCCTGTTCGTGGACGGTAATGGAAATTGCAAGTTACCGTCCACGCCCCCTGGCACCGGCTTAAGCAGAATTCAGCATTTAAACACTAAAATGTGAAATTTAGTCCCCAAGTAAAAGAAAGCAAGTGCCCTAAACGAGAAAACAATGGACGGAACGAAATAAAATGGAATTTTGAAAGGGGATCTGAGGTTATGAAGCCTGCATATCACAGGTAAGACGTCAAAAGACAAATTTAACAAGCAAATTCGTTGAATTTATATCCCCCGCCGAGTACTGGTTATTACTAACACAACAACTGAAGATATAAGGCTTTATTTATATATTTATCATGGCATAAACAGTAATATTCTTAGTACATAATATATATTCAGGGAAATAACATAGCCTTAATTAACTCGGTGTTAAATAGTAATATCTGGACATGACAATGAGATGTAAATTGCCTTTTTGTATTTATGGTTCCCATAAAGTTCTGTTGAAATCAATACAGCAGTTGCAAAGAAATAGCAATATATTGCTCTATATGTATACTACATAACTAATCAAGGGCCATAACTCTGTAATGAAGGGTCTGGTCTGAACAATTAAGGCAACAAAGTATGCACATCTCATCTTGGTATTAATGGTTCCTATAAAGTTTTATTGAATTCCAGCAAGTAGTTGCAAAGTTTAATTGAATTCCAGCAAGTAGTTGCAGAGAAGTAGCTCTATATGCATGGTGCTTAACTAATCAAGGGCCATAACTCCGAGTTAGTGTCTGACCAGAACAAGGTGATGATATGCGCATTTTCTCTTGGTTTTGAAGGTTCCATAAAGTTTGTCCTATATGCATACTGCATAACTAATCAAGGGCCAAAACTCTGAGTTAAACTGTCTGACCGGAACAAGGCGACGATATGCACATCCCCTCTTGGTATTGAAAGTTCCAATAAAGTTTCGTTGATTTCCAGCCAGTAGTTGCAGAGAAGTAGCATGGGAACAATTATTGCTTTATATGCATAATGCATAACTTATCAAGGACCATAACTCTGAGTTAAAGTGTCTGACCGGATCAAGGCAATAATATGCACATCTCCTCTTGGTATTGAAGGTTCCCATAAAATTTCGTTGAATTCCAGCCAGTAGTTGCAGAGAAGTTAGCGCGGAAATGATTATTGTTCTATATGCATACTGTATAACTAATCAAGGACCATAAATCTTAGTTAAAGTGTCTGACCGGAACAAGGCAACAATATGCACATCTCCTCTTGGTATTGAAGGTTCCCATAAAGTTACGGTGAATTCCAGCCAGTAGTTGCAGAGAAGTAGCGCGGAAACAATTTTTGCTCTATATGCATACTACATAACTAATCAAGGGCCATAACTCTGAGTTAAAGTGTCTGACCAAAACAAGCTGACAATATGCGCATCTACTTTTGGTATTGAAGGTTCCCATAACGTTTCGTTGAATTTCAGCCAGTAATTGCAGAGAAGTAGCGCGGAAACAATTTTTGCTCTATATGCATAAGTACTGCGCATAACTAATCAAGAGCAATAACTCTGAGTTAAAGTGTCTGACCGGAACAAGGCGATCCTCTTAGTATTAAATTAAGGTTCCCATAAAGTTTCATTGAATTCCAGCCAGTAGTTGCAGAGAAGTAGCGCGGTCCATATGCATAATACAAAACTAATCAAGGGCTATAACTCTGAGTTAAAAGGTCTGACTGGAACAAGGCAACGATATGCGCATATCCTCTTTATATTGATGATTCCCATAAAGTTTCATTAAATTCCAGCCGGTAGTGGCAGAGAACTAGCGCGGAAACGAAATTCGTACGGACGGATGCACGGACGGACGGAAGGACGGACAACGCCAAAACAGTATCCCCCGATCTATGTCTCTGTTCACATCTATGGATGTATGAATGAAATCGTTTAGTATTTGCCAAATAAATCTACGGCCCAGCTAATTCACTTCTTTGGTCGATTTTAAAAGCACCTTCTTGTTTTCTTTTCTTCTACATCTATTTCACAGTGCCAAGTTTTTGCGACGGACGCGCCCTCAGGCGCGTTCAGAGCTAATTAAGTCATCTACACATGGGATTTCGTCGGCTACAATCGCGCAAAGTGTCCTCAGCCGATTAACAGCCCAAGAAATAGTACATGCATTTGATCCTTCAAAACTCCGATACTTTGTCGGGATATCTTAAAATCTTCCATATTTAGCCTTTTCAATTTCAAATTAAGTTTTCCAAGTTAAAATATGAACGTATATGATTGATAAAAACGTTGTAGTCCCGTAGTATTATTGCGCAATATGCAAATTACTGCCAAAACGATTTACCGCTGTCGAAAAAGTAGGACAGCAAATTATACTATAATAAAGGTGTAAGCTCTGAGTTCCAAGAAAATATTAGTAGGAAATAAATATTTCTACATTATACAAAACAGTATTATTAACAAATCAAAAGTTTTTCGTGACTCTAGGATAACTCGCGCATTAATAAAAGAAGAACAATTTTCGTGACTCATACCGCGGGTTTAGCTGAATATTAAGCAGTTATTAATAAATTAGATACAGTACAATGGTTAGTATAAATATCTATTTTTGAAAATGCATGTAAGAAAAGAGTTTTTCAACACTTTACCACCATGTAGTCTTTCATGGTAAGGAAGTTATAATATCAGTTCTACTTCCGATTCTTGTGGTTTGTTTACATATTTTTCTAGGTCACGATATGAGTTAACCTTCGCTATTCTGCTTCACCTGTGCTGATTTTTGGACAGGGCGATTAGGGAGTACACATTATACATGTAATAAACCAGCGGATTACATGTAATACTTTTAGAAATTCTATACAATTGTAAGAAGCAAACAAGTTGAAAATGGAATTTAGTGTAAAATTGAAAAGGACAACTAAACACTGTAGTGCTTAAGTGACATTTAAATTAAAATAAAAACGATGTGCTCTGGCCTCTACATCTTTACCTTGTAAATAAACAAGAAAAATATTACATACATTCGTATGTAATATAGGTACGATTGCATACTACTTTTTGTGAAGACTTTATGTTTGCTGAATTAAAGGTGTAATGTAAAATGAACAAACATGTCATGAGATATTTTATATCTTTAAACATTTTCATGGAATGTAATTAATGTATCACCATATTAAAGTTGCATGCCTTCAGATGAGAAAAATGATTTCAAGGAAATCAAAATATGAAAAGAAAATTCACGGTCAATTGACTGCTTTGAAGCATAATCACAAAATAAAATTACAGGAAATTAAAAACCTTTTTAAGGTAGAATTTCATTGTAAATCATAGTCAAAGATTTGAGATATGATTATTTATTCATATTAACCTCATTATTGGTTATATGTTGATAAAAAAAACCCCGAAAGACACAGTTTGTAAATATTTATTACAATAAAATATGAAAAAGGTATACGCGCCGAGGTTAGCTATAATTAAAATTCCCGCGCTAAGTCGCGGTGGTGCTTGGGATAATCACTTGATACTGTAAATGGCAGCCATTTTACGATACGAATCCTCGAAAAGTTTATCCTGCCGAAAAGATATGAAAAAATACTTGCAATTCAAAGTTTGCTGGCTACATAAAGATTATCGATTTACTCTTTGCACACTTTTTCTCTGCCTGAGTATAATAATATTGACGTGTTTTCATTGGCTTAAACCATCACGTTACCAATACACATGTAGGTGTGAACTAATTTCGTGTTCATTAAAATTATTCCGTTAATAGACATATAACAATCTTATTTACAAATGAATTGATAAAACAACAATCCCAGAAGCATTTAAGATAATAACAATCATTGGAAAAAAATAAATGCATATAAATTGTAAATTTGTGTATGACAACTCAACCCCGTAAACAAAACATAATAGACTCAACCAAAACAAGCGCCTGCTTCTTCACCTAACTATGTAGTTGCATGACCATGATTAGCAATTTAGCAAACCAAATCTAAGAGATAAACCTATTGTAAAAATAATACTATGACCACAGCAGATTTCGTACAGAAAAATCTAAAAAATACACTATTAATTGCTGATGATTTTAACCAAAATTTTTTTTAATGAGACATATCCAAGAGAAATAAAAATACAAATGACTTATATTTTATTGTCTATATGCCCACTATGATATAACACGAAGCAATTCTAAATAGCATTCTCACGTGTATAATGTATTATGCTCACGGATTTATATTAATATAAATCCGTGTATGCTTGAAGTTTATTTGCATGGTTTTATTTAAGAAATATTTCGTTGACAGTATTTTTTTTCTATTTACATATCATTTCTTGGAATAAATCGATAAGGACACTGATTTACAAGTTTGACCAGAGTTTTTAGGCAGAAATTTCATTCTGTATTTAAGTGCTTGAAAGTAGAAAATCTTAATTATATCAGTTTGGGACACAAAATATATTGCTCTACAAATCTCGAACTTGTATGGAACAAATTTTCTCTGTTATATATTTTTGTGTTTTTTGTTTGCTTTTTTTTTCTAAAAAAAGCCTTAATGTCTCTCCGGTTGCATGTCCGTCGCATTCAGTGCTGCAGCACTTTGATTTCTGATGGGACGGGACAAAAATTTTAATCGATTAATTAAATTAAGAAAAAAAATTCTAATCAAACGTACGGAATAAGTTCATAGAGTAGTGTCCCTTTTTATTATGATTTTGCTGAAGTTGTGATAAAATGAAAACTAGGTAAAAATGTTTTTGTCTTTTATTTTATACGTTTTATTTTGTAGAGATAATGGGGACTTTTGCAAGCAAACGTAAGCAGCTTGACCAGCAGCTTGTTCTTGTAAAGGTGTGACTATCGTCGCTCGTAATTACAAGTAGAATATGCAGGACGAGTGCACATAATTTGCCATTGGATTTAGAATCAAATCAAATCAAAATTTACTTATTGTCTGTATATATATATATATATAACATTTCACAAAACATAAGCTATGTATAGCTTTTGACCTGCAGGACGAGTGACTGGAAATAGTAGTAGCATCCGTGGTTTGTCTTTACATTTTATCCCTATTTGTCTATTAAAAAGTCGAACAGAAAGAAACTTTTTACGACAGAAGTGTGACAGAAAAACTCGAGAGTTTCTACAAGCTATGACATTTTATGCAATTTCTATATTAAATCTCGCCGATTTAAAAGTTACCCGCAACATTTAATAAAATGATGGTAACATTTGTGGCGGCTTTAAAATGGATGCTATCAGCCACCATAGTAAATTAATTTCACATCTCTTTGTGTGTATGTGTGTGTATTTGCGTTTATTTATACTCACCGCCGTTTGCCCATGTGGGTGAGTCCTCCAGAAGAGTATTAGTCATTTTATTTTTTGGAGGATAGTGCAATTACAGATACAGAAATATGCCCCAATTCCAGAAGCTTCTCCTGGTTCTTTAGCGTGCCAAGTGTTTAAGCACCCATACACGGGACATTGATTTAAAGTCTCATCCAAAAGACTGATTAATAATTTTAGTTTGCCAACCCACCGGGGAATCGAACCCACAATGTTGAGATTACAAGTCTCGCACTCTAACCGATTGAGCTATGCGGGCTGGCTTGCACATCTACTTTCCAAACCCTAGGAATATATAGAGTACTTTTCCTGGGACATAATATATAGACAAGTAACTGGATACTAGACTAGTGTTGTGTACTGATCAGGGACCACTAAAACATCAAACCTGGATGGCCCCAAAAATGCCTGATTTAGTTCTTTGTGCAGTGGTTTTTTAACAACAATAAATGTATAATTTTTCTATGATTAAGTTTCTTAAACCTTAATATGTTTATGTCTATTGCAGTAAAGGGTGCAATACCTGACCTCTTACATTAGTTTTAATAATTTGCTAAGTAAACAATAGAAACTAAAGTTCACCATATGCTGCTGGAATATTGTATATAATTTAAAAAAAAAATTGAACATTCAAGCCATCATTTTTATTAAATTAAAGTCATACATATCTGTCCGGACACATGAGGACAATTTTAAAACAATTTCTATATTCCAGGGCTTCCGTTAATGGAAGTTTGGGAGTCATTTACTCCTTGATTTTGGCTTGTTACTTCCAAAATCTAATATTTTTTCTTCTTAACCTATAAAATGTGACTTCCAAAATCAGAGATTTCATTAATATTAATTATATTATCAAGAAGGCTGGTAAACCTGAGTCATTAATACAAAGCCTTTGAACGATATCATAAACTATGCATTATTGTACCTCAGTGCAAGAAAAATTGGTATCTTTATGTAACATGCTAACAGAAATATTATTGACACAATATGTTGAATTTGATTTTACAAAGAAGTAATTTTCTTGATATTATAATTATTTGGTGTATTAACATCAAATCTATGTAATTATCACTAATATGGTGTATAATTGCTCTCTTCCTTATAATGTGCATAACTACAAATGAGCTGTGTCACAACAAAACCAACATAATGGGTTTGCGACCAGCATGCATCCAGACCAGCCTGCGCATCTGCGCAGTCTGATCAGGATCCATGCTGTTCGCTATCAGTTTCTCTACTTGTTATAAAATTGGTAAGCGAACAGCATGGATCCTGATCAGACTGCGCGTATGCGCAGGCTGGTCTGGATCCATGCTGGTCGCAAACGCACTATGTTGGTTTTGTCGTGACACGGCTCAAATGTATTGTGTAGAAATGTTCTTGATTGCTTTAAAAGTCTGTTTAATAAGGAAATAGTGTGAAGCGTGTGTTTGTATTATCATTTGAGATGTTTTTATCAGTCAAATTTTGTTGTATATATAAATTGACTTTTAAAAGTAAAATGCAGGTTATAGCAGAATTTTTTACAGCCTTTTGAGTCAGTGGTGATATATAGGGCTTCCCTTTTTCATCTTTTTGGGGAAAAAAATCCATGCCCTTGTGGGCTCTAATAGGAAACTATATAGAACATTTGAAATTTTAATGATATCACCAATTAAATAATAAATGTCAATGTGTTTTCTAGGAAAAGAGGCAGAAGTCCTGACCCAGAGTGTGACGATTGTTTACCTATATCAAAAAGAATTACACGATTAAACATACAGTAAGTGAATAATTTCTCCATCAAAATTTGTTCGTATTTTTTTTTTTGGTTTTTTAGCAAGAAAAAAAAAGAACAAGTGCATGTTATTAGTAACTCCATCTAGTCATTTTCTTTGTAACTTACATTTACTCTATGTTAAACTTAGTTTTTTTATACAATTGTCACAGTAACCAATCTGTTTCTAGTATAAGCATCTCTGTCACTATATGATTCCGGAAAACTTGTTTTTAACTTATTGAAACATTTGTAAATATTATTCCATGGTATGGCATTTCCATCCATCTTGTTGTTTGTCCTCGCTTCGTCTGTCGGTATACAATTGGTTTCTACATATTTACATGTTACCTTGGATAGTGATTGTGTTTAGCATGTAAAGAAAAATCATAATTTGCCATTTAGGTCCATAAATTTGCTATCAACCTCTGTTTTCTTTATTTAATTCATATTTTTGCCTGTGATACCTTCTTTAAGTTTGCTATCTGGTGTATATCACCCTGTCTGAGAAATCAAAATCTGTTGTTATTTTTTGCATTTACTTGTTTTTATTTCAGAGCAAGCAGAAATTCAATTGAAAGCAAAGAATCATTAGCAGGAGCACCTGTAAGTGTACTTTTAAAATGCTAATTTAACAATTAACCTGCTGGAAGTTTGGAACCAAAAGTGGTTAGCTTCTGCGACAAGTATATAGCCACACCAGTGTGCACATCTGTGCAGGTGCCCGCTTATGTCTGAAATAATGCAAGGAGGAGAACCTGAGGTCTTCCTCCACCAGTAAAGCTGAAAAGTCACCACATAACCTCTACTGTGTCTGTGCTGTGTAGTAAGGTTGGCAGCTTAATTTTGTATGTTGAAGAATGAACTGTTCCATATTTAAAGCTGGACACCATTTACAAAATTTCAGCAGGTGAAGCAAATATATCACAGACACCAATTCCATGTAACTTACTTATGAATGTATGTTATGTAAGTTATTCAATGAGTCCTTGGCCAAGTCGTTGACTTCAAACCGTTTGACCACCACCCATTGCCGTGGGTTCGAATCCTGACAGGGAAATTGAATTCTTTCATGTGAAGAAGCTATACAGCTTGCTTATTGAATGTCTACTAATGTCTGAAACAATGCACTGGTGGGCAAATGAAGTCTACCTCCGCCAGTAAAGCTTGAAAGTCGCCATATGACCTATAATGTGTTGGTGCAATGTAAAACCTAACCAAAAAGATAATATATAATAATATAAGTTATTCATGAAACTTAATTGGCATAAATAAGCTGCATCATATGTGATACCCATAAAGTGTTGAACGTTAAACCCAACCAACATGTATGTTTCCAATGACAAAGTGTCTTATAAGAGTTCTCACACACTTGTAATTAACTACCGGTATATTATGTTCTGTCCACACTTAACAATAAATGCAAGATTTAAATTTGTAAAGTACAATGTAAATTTAAAATTTCCTTTGAAGAATGTTAATGTTAATGACTCTTTCTTCATTATACATGTACATTGTATTCCAATTGAACAAACTTATTTAACATATACATGTATCAAATTAATGTTCTTGCAGCAACCAGGTTGTTCTCATGGCAACGCTTCAGGAAGTGGTGAAGACATGTTGTCATGGCAACATCAGCAGTGTAGTGGAAGAGGTTATCAGCAAGGAAACAACAATAACTTGAATTATCTCCCTTGTGGATCTAGTCAATGTGACAATATACAAGGCATAAACACAACAAAAAACGGCTTGCAAGCATATGCCGTACATCATGGCATCCCCTCTGATGATTTCAACGGCTACAAACCAGAGTTAACGAAGACTGAAAATCCTCACTATTACCAGATCAACAGTGTTTTATATCGGGCACATTTAGAGAAAGCCAGTAGAGTAGGCATGGATCTAAAGCAGTGATGTATTAAAAAGAAATAAATGAACCTCAGCATTTTGTCTTTCAATTGTCATAGTAATATATAGTGTTACATTATGGCATTTTTTGTTTTGTTTATGTGCTTTTAACGATCATGTCCTGTTTTAGTTAAATGTTCAGTGCTTATCGGTAGTGACAGGCTTAAATATTGAAGTTTATTACATAAACCAAGGCGCAGGAGTGTAATAAAGCCAATTAATAAAAACTATATCACACTAGTGTAATAACACTTTGACGTGACGTCATCTGCACTATATATAAACATAGCGTTTAAGTGTGCAAATGTTAGACGCGTCAATGAAAAATTACTTGTTTTAACTGTAATTCATTCTCTTTTTGAATATATGATTAATAGATTATTATATCCTTGTAGATTCAATACAAAATTTATTTAACTTGTGGAATAAAACAATATGATCCTCGCCAGAGGCTCGCATATGATTTTATTCAACCTGTTCAATAAATTTAGAATTAACACCTGTCAATATCTCATGAACCCATTTTCAAAAGGTTTTGTGCCAAGCTAACCTGGTAAAAGCATGACATCGCATGTAGATATTCTGTTACAAGTCATAGAAATGCTTGTCACCTTGATACGCTGTAGAGGTCAACTTGGACTTGATCTTGATCAAGGTTTGTAGGAATATTTGTTTTAATATTTCTTTAACTGTAACCTCTAAATTTTTACTGGGATAAACCTGCTCCAGTCCTATCTAGGTCATGATCAAATTTATCTGGCATTAAAGCAGCATGCTTGCAAATTCATGCTTTTTTTTTGAAAATTTTTTAGTATGTATTTAAAAAGTAAAATATTTTCAAGTGAACAAAGAAAGTAATTTTTAAGTTTTTAACATTTTGCAATCTACGAAAAATACCGAACATAGGTCAGAATATGCAAAAATAGTCCTTACTGCGTTAGAAAAGCAGTAGAAATCTGGTGATAATATAATGCAAAATCTGACGTAATCTGGTGATAATATAATGCAAAATCTGACGTTCATGGCATAAAACATGTTAATTATTTATTTTTTGTGTGAATATTTTTACTTTTCTTAAAATCACATTTTCCCCCTAGGTATAATACATGTATATGAGGGATTAATTTTTTCATTCTTTCAAATGTTTTGTAATCTTATTAAGCACATATAAATAGTGTACAATTGTACTTTTTAGTGGCCAATTTCTTTGTTTTTTTTTCTTTTTTAGTTTTATTGTAAATCTATGGTAAATTATAGCTAATTAAGTAGTTCATATCACATTATTACTTCAATAGAACTAACTGTCAAAATTATTGACCGCAAAACTGTAGTAACTCATATAAAATACAGTAGGACTTACAACTGTATTGCGTTCAACCATCCAAATAACAGGTATTTATGCAAAGTCAACATTTTGCATAAAGAAACATTTCTGACTTATTGTTGAAGTTAAATATTTGTGATTTCTACTTTCATTTCTTTTAAATGCTAATGTAGATACTTGTGGAACATCTTTTCTAAAATTTGCAAAAATTTTCAATTATCTTAATTCAGTCCCTAGCAAAAGTTTTTTTTATTTTACAGTAGATAAACAGTTCAACTTCGGTTTTATGTATTATAATTCTATGTAGCACTCTTCTCTAAATAAAAATTCTTACTAAAGATAATATTTCAAGAAGAAATTCTATCATGTTTAATTATTTACTTGATAAGGTAAATCTGTTATGTTGTTAGTATTAATTTTGATTGTGTGTGAGATGGTAAGAATATTATTATAAAAAAACTTGTTACTGTTCTCCTATTGTAGACACTGTCAACACTGTGTCATATTTTTTTGTTTCATTTATTCACACCCGCTACAATGTAATTAATTATATCTCTCGCAGAATAAAGATGATATTTCATATTATTAATGACCCACAAGTTCATTTTAGGAAATGAGTAAACAAATATGGGTCAAGAACTGTGAACAAGCAAAAACCCTGATGTGTGATATTTGACAGGTCAATGGTCCAAGCTGTTGTAAATGGTTGAAAGCTTATGTATAATTCAAACTGGAGCTGTTTGATGCAGGTTATATAGCAATCAGCAGTTTTTCATGGCCATATAATCTGTCTAAAGTCGGTCATGAAATTCATCATACTACCCAATGGTTGTGTTTGATTAAAACAAAAATTTATTGATAAATTTGCTGCAGCATTATAGAGGATTAATGTACATGTATCTTTCTGTGCATTACCACCTGCAAAACCAAGAGGACGCATTTAAAGCACAAGCCCGCTAGAGATTCAATAAATCTGAGAGCAGCTGCAGATGTATATGCACAATAAAGGTGCATTATTGCTATTCTTGCATACAAGTATACATCCAAGTTGGTTATTCCATGTTTGTCTGCATTTCCTGTAAAGAAACCACTTCTGGTTCGATGCTTTCCATGTGCTATAAAAATATTGAAGGCCTTCATTGCATTAAGCCCAGCTGTTAAGCTCTCATTACAAATATTTAAAATGTGCAACAGCAGGACTTGGTTACAAAAATCTATTTGTTCATGCAGCAGCATGTTTTGTCTTCTGTTAATGTATACCTGATTGCGCAATTATTATGCAAGAATAGATAATACAATTATTGTAATTGTAAAATGAAAACTGATGTTAGAAATATGCAATATTATGAACACATATGGACTATTGTTTAATCTAAGTAGAAAAGGCTTTTGATTTAACACTGCTTACATACAGAGAATTTTGTTTTTTGGAATGAACGATTTATGACACACAATATTATGACTAACTAATTAAATAAATTTACCGTTTTTTTGTGACATCATCATGTTGCTTTTACATTTGTACCTGGTGTAATTTACTCCCTAGTAAAATCAAACAGTTATTTCTGTATGCATAATCAGTCATATGTAATGTGGATAAATATCATCATCAGATTGTTACCAGTAACACTCGTTTATACAGCTGATACATTTTACTCCCTCGTTTTGTCATTAGACTATAATTATAACATGTTGTTGTAGCAGATATTAAATATTAACCTACGCACTGGCAAATTAAGTTATATTTTCATCTTGACTATCATCTATTTATGCAAGCTTATTATTAGAAACATAGTTGGTATGCCATTGTTATCTCAATCACCTGTCATCACAATTAAATAGTGATTTTGACTACATTTGTACTTATAGTATGCTTTTTGGTTTATGTTTTTTTATCCAGCCTGTCCTTTTGTTGAGAGGATTTGGACTATCTTTGCTATTTATATTAAAAGGGGTTTTGACTACATTGTTTATTTTAAATTTTTAAATTTAAAAGTTTTTTTAATATCTGCTAATTTTATTGCAGTTTTTATTTTTTCCCTGTAAATTTTAAAAAAATAGTAAATACAGAAATTTAAAGGGATGATTTGCTTAGATTTGTTATAACATTTTTGGCCAGGGTTTCCCTTACAGTATAAATCTTTTCCTTTTTATTCAATTTTTTAAGAAAAGGGGGATGTTTAATTTCACTTTAAAATGAAACCCATTTTGATGAGAACTTTCCTTTTAAATAGTAGTTAAAACCCATTTAAAGGGAAAACTGAAAACCTGTGATTTATTTGTTAAAAAAAAAATTTTTTTGATATATCATGATTATTTTTACCTTATATTTTTTAATTTTAAAATATTGAGACAGAAATACAAAATTTAATACGAAAAAAATTAATAGGGGAAAGTCTTCATAATTGCTTTCTGTAATAATTTTTTGTTCAGTGTTGTGCAGGTATAGTGCCAACGGTATAGAGTTTGGACAGACAGCTCGTCCTTGGTCTGTCAATTTCTGCAAATCAATTTCCAAACTCTCGTGTTAAGTGTTGAAATACTTATGAAGGTATTGGTAAGAGCTGTCCGATTAGCTCAATAGGTAGAGCATTGGACTGTGAATTGGGCCAGCCAGGTTTGATTCCCGGACGCTTCAGGTTACTTTTATTGTGATTGATCATAAAATCCTTTCTATGGTCATTCCCATTGTACCTCTGCTCTGGCATGTACTGATGTTACCAGTTCCTTGCGAAAGTGAAAGCAACTAGTCATAGTAAACTGCTAGACAGCCTAGTGGCTGAACTGTGCTCAATAGTAAATTCAATGTGGCTTACTGCCGTGATCTTAGTGAAAACTACCAACACCATCACCAAAGAAAAGTACTGGAAATGAGGAATCTATAATTATTATGTCTCAAATTTTTAAAACATCATGAATATTTGTCAAGGAGACATGGCACAAAAAGCGGGAAGAAAGCTAAAAACCAAAATTTCCCTACAATAAAAGCATCAAAAAATGTAAGTTTGCAAGTAAAAACAAATTAAAAAATTTTGAAAATTTGACACTTTTGGTATAAAAAAATTTTTTGGGGGTTTTTCAAAAGAAAAAAGGCACGCACGGACATTATACCCCCAAAAAGTGTTTTTTTTAGTAAGGATGAAGCATTTGTAAGATTTAGGAATTAAATACAGTTTAACCTCCTTCAAAAAGCAATCCTCCTTTATAGCTGAAGAACCATATATATATACAGTTGCTGTTTTCAAAGCACCACCATCAAGTTGTTACCTTGTAAGTAAAAATGCTACGATGGATGGACGGAAAGACGTCGGGGGTATAACATAATATAAGCAAATTTTTTATGGCATATAATTAATGTATTCAATATAAGTGATCATCCTATGAAGTTTGACAGTTGTAAAACTGTTAACAATATTAAGGTCATTTGATATTGACCTTTGATCTTGTGACCCAAATAAAGATATGGATCTTTTATTTTATATAGGCAATCATCCTATGAAGTTTGAACACTGTAAGCCTAATGGAACTTTAGCTGTAGGTTGATTAATACTTTAGATATTGAGCGGAAACTGTTTTCAATTTTTAAGGTAATAGTGACCTTGACCTTGTGACCCCAAAATCAATTGGGGTCTTCTACTTAATATGGACAATCATCCTATGAAGTTTGAATACTGTGGGCCAAATGGAACTTTAGTTATGCTCCAGATACCATTTTCAGTTTTAGGGTAATAGTGACCTTGACCTTTGACCTTGTGAC